AGGAACAGCTTCAATAATTTCAAAGTAAATAAATACCACTTGTACATAAAATTTAATGTAATGAAGGATTATTTTGCCCACAAAGGTGGTACAGAAGACTTAATGACAGGTGGTGGCTGATGAAGGCAGGTGCAAGGGAATTATTCTTCAGAAGACACGTTCTTGCCACACCATTTTCTTTACCAATGTTTCAACCACTGGGAGAGGCTTATCTTTATCTTTCACTGAAACTATACTTAAAAATAAAGTTATTGCTGGGGCTGGCTCCGTGGCCAAGTGGTTAAGTTCGCGTGCTCTGCTGCGACGGCCCAGGGTTCAGATCCTGGGCGCGGACATGGCACTGCTCGTCAGGCCATGTTGAGGCGGCGTCCCACATCCCACAAATAGAAGGACTTGCAACTAAGATATACAACTGTGTGTGTGGGGAGGAGGTTGGGGAGATAAAGCAGAAAAAAAAAAAAAGATTGGCAATAGTTGTTAGCCTAGGTGCCAATCTTTAAAAAATAAATAAATAAAAAACAAAGTTATTGCACACACACAAAATCGATAAGGCAAAATAAGGCAAAATACAGGAATGCTGTCAAAGACACGGAAAAAAACCTCACCACCCAGCAGATGGGAGAGTGTGGAAGAGGCGCCCACTGTGTCCCCTCACCTGGCAGGTCTATGAGAAGCAGTACATTTGGGGTCTTCCAGACAGGGGCACAGTTCACATTGGCTCCCCACGACTTTCTTTGACTAGAAATTGCTATGATGACCAAATTGATGGGCATGTCTGTGCCCAAATCAAAGTGTCAAAATGTCACTTTTATGGCAAATTTATTTAGTGTGCTTGGTAGTCACATGAAAAAGGGGGTGCTCACTGAAAGCGGCTTATCTTTTCCAGATGGTTTGGTGGAAAGTCTTCAACCAAAGCCGTGTTCCATCAGAGGAACCTGTGTAGCCCATGCCCGTCCCCTCATACCTTCCCCGACACCAGGTGCTGCCAGCCCTTCATTTCTGTGGGACTGATGGGTGAAGAGCTGTAGCTTAGGGGGGTGGGGCAGGCTGTAAAGATGCTCTACATACTTTTCCTGTTCTGTCTGTTAACACTGGGGCTCCCACTGGGCTGTGTGGTTCCGATCTCAGGTTCAGTATGCAGCCTTGAACAGGACAAGTAGGAAATGAGTGTGAGAAGGGTAGCTCTTCATAGGATGCAGACGAGGGTAAGGGGAGACCACCAGGCTCAGCTTAGCACAGTGCCTGGAACCTAATCAGTGCTCCATTCTAGTGGGTGATGGTGACAACAAGGGGATCTCAGAGGGGCAGCTCCTCACTCTGTGCCCTGGGACCCTGAGCTCCCCCTGCCCCTATCTGCACTCTGTTTCCTCCTAGATCATTGAACACAGAATCTTCGTCTCAACACAAGCTCCATCAGTCAGTCATTCAGTCAGGCGACAAGCAGGGGAAGGCAGGGTTCAGGCAGCCTCAGGGCGCAGAGGGAGTGAGATCAGGCTGGGAGGGAGAGCTGGGTGCCTTCCTGCTCTGCACTGGCTGGGACACTGTGGTGGGCTGAACCATGGCCCCCAAAGATACCAAGTCCTCATCCACGGAACCATGCCCATGTCCTTATATGTCAACATCTTTGAAGATTTTATTAAATTAAGGCTCTTGAGATGGGCAGATTATCCTGGATTATCCTGAATTATCTGGGTGGGCCCTAAATGATATCCTATGTGTCCTTACTCAAGGGAGGCAGAGGGAGATTTGACATACACAGAGGAGGAGGCCATGTGAGGACTGAGGCCACCTCAAGTGAAAGGACCGGGGCAGCCACCAGAAGCTGCAAGAGGCCAAAAAGGAGCCTCCCCTGGAGCCTTTGGAGGGAGCACAGCCCTGCCGACACCTCAGTTTCAGACTTATAGCCTTCAGGATGGGGAGAGAATAAATTTCTGTTTTTAGAACCACCCAGTTTGTTACAGCAGGAACATGAAGCTAATACAGATACACACTCTTCCTGGTCCCAGGAACGTTCCCTGCCCCTCACCCCCCGCACATGCACACACGCGTGCACACACACATGCACACACACACACACACACCCTGAGGTCCCAACAAAGCCTCTGCCTCAGTCACTGCCCCGTCCATCAGCCTTGATGATTCACAGGCGTTCCTGTCCATTCCAGAGATACGGGTCTCTTAATTTCAAACTTTGCAAGTCTCTCTCCCATCCTCTTATCTCTTTCTAACTTGTCCGTGGTGTCCATTGGCAAGAAGTGCTAGTTTTGATGGAATCAGATTTGTCATTGTTTTTTGCCTTATGGATTATGCTTTGGGATCTTTGTGTAAGAAATTCTTCCTTGCTCAGATGTTACAAAGATTCTCCTACACTTGCTTCTAACTTCAAATTGTTGCCTTTTACATTCGGGTCTTGATTCTCTCTGGAGCCACCTCTGCGTGCAGCGTTAAGTCAAGGCCATGTTTACTTTCTCCATGTAGTGATCCAGTGCCCAACACCATTTCCCACACAGTTGGCTCTTCGCCTCTTGGTGGTAGTGCCCCTGAGTACGAGGTGAGGGTCTCCTACCCCCCAGCCCCACCTCCAGCTTCCTGCCCTCTTGTGCAGTTAGAAGAAACTGTTCTCTGACCATGAATTCGTAGGGTCTTCCCATCAGGTATTCTCCATTTTTATGGTGACTTCACTGTTTGGTGACATGGGCCTTCTGTTGTAGCGTAGGTTTACTGAGCTTCTCCAAAGATCTACATGGCATTTTGATAGAGATGACTTTGGATTTTTAGCTTATTTGGGTGATATTGTCATAAAATTATCAAACCACCCAAGAGCAGGATAGCGCTCCAGTCACGCGGTCACCTCAGCGGGGTGAGCCCCACGAGGAAAGTGAGTCCGTGGTAGGGGTGGGTGGGGCGCACTGCCTCTGGGTGAGGACATGCATCTTCTGGATGCTTTTGGCTACAGCTCACCAACTCGGTGGTCCTGGGATTGGTTAATTCCCGGGACCAGGGGAGCCCAGGCTCCAGGTCTCTCCTCCACGATTCTTGCGGCATTGCCCTCATAGTGGAAAGATGCTGAACAACTCCTCCATCGTCCTGCACGGAGAAGCATGAGTCCCTCCTGGGGACCCTTTCAAGTAGCCCCCAGATGTCCCCACCAGCCCCTTGTGACACCCTCATGTCTCTTTCTCTGGCCTGGGTCCTGTCTCATCCTGGCTACCCATCTGGAGCTGGGAGAGGCACCAGGAGGGGGCAAGGGGCAGGCTGCTCGGCCTGGCTTCCTGTTCTCCCTGATATCTTAGGACACTGTGAGGTCACAGTGTGGGCAGCCCCAGGTCACAGGCAGCTCTACATGATCTCTCTGGCTGGCAGGAGGGAGAGATCAGCAGGCTAGTTCCAGGATGGTGGACATGAGACTGCCCTCACGGCAATGTGACCCTGGGGCTGCGGGTGGGGATGACAAGGATTCCTCCTGACCAGCTGCTGCCAGGCAGGGAAACCCTGTCCCAGAGCAGCCCAGATCCCTGCAGAGGCTTGGCCCAGACGCAGGGCTTCAAGTGGCCACACTCCGGAGCCTCTCCAAGATTTTGGAGAGTTTGCCAAATGCTTAGGGACAGTGAAGGGGCTCCTTCTTGGTCACTGCCTGGGGTTCCCACATCCCCCATCCTTTGGCCCAGCCCCAATCCACCCTGTTATCTTGGGATGACAGGGGGCCTGAGAGCACCCTGGACGTGAGGTCTGAGTTCTCTGAAGCCCAGACTGGGGCCAACCTTTGACGGGGGCTAGGGTTGGGAGCCGCCTCTGGGACTCTCAGTCAAGGGGGGGTGGGGAGAAGGCTGCCCCTGAGATGCTGAGTCCGTGGGGGAGGGGGCTGCATCAGGCAATCTGGGTTTTGGTGCCCTCTGGTGGACGCTGGGGCACCCTACAGACCACTTTTCAGGCACAGGAGACAACTGAACACTCAGGAGACTGAGGGGTGGGGCAGTCCTGGGTTTGTCCCAATATCAATGCTGAAAAGCAGGGTGACCCTGAAGTCACTCTGCCCTCTGATCCTCAGTCTTCTCATCTGTAAAAATGGTGACAGATCCATTTCAAAATGTTGTCAGGGAGGAGACAGAGCAGATGAGACTATGCAAGTGACACAGCAACGACAGTTCCCTCCTCTGTCTCCCAGACAGACAGACAGAGGGGCTGAGTCCCACAAGCAGAGGGTCACGCCATCCTGGCCAGTCCCCTCCATCCTCTGCCAGCAGCTGCCAGGGCAACCGTCCCACAACGGGGTCACCCTTGATGGAAGCCCTTCAGTTCCAGCTGCCACAGGACCAGGGTCCAAGCCTCTGGCCTGGACAAGGGCTTGTGAGAACTCGTCTGACCCCACCATTCCCTGCCCCTCTACCCAGCCTCAGCCATGCCGACCCACCTCTGGCTCCCACCTCCTGGCCTTCACCCCAGCTGATTTCTCCCGTCATTCCCTCCCTACCCTTCCTTTGTCCTCTGGCAAATTCCTACCCTCCTTCTCACCTGACGGGAATGGGGCGTCTGTCCCTCCTTTGAGAAGACTTCCTGGACCCCACTCCTCCAACCCTTGACAAGAGTGCCAAGACAATTCAATGGGGGAGAGAATAGTTGTTCAACGCACAGTGCTGAGATAACTGGAGAGCCATGTGCAAAAGAATGAAGTTGAGCCCTACCCCACGTCATATCCAAAATTACCCCTGACGGTGTCCAGTGGAGCAGCTAAAACTATAAAACTCTTAGAAGAAAACAGGAGCACATCTTCATAATTTTGGAGTTGGCAATCATATCTTAGATATGACACTAAAAGTGCGAGCAACAAAAGAAAAAGATAAGTTTAAAATTTTTGTGCTTCAAAGGACACCATCGAGAAAGTGAAAAGACAATCTACCAAATGGGATAAAATTTTTGCAAATCACATATCTTTTAGGGACTTGAATCTAGAATATATGAAGAACTCTTACAACTCAGCAATAAAAAGACAAACAACCAAATTAAAAATGGGCAAAGGATCTGAGTAGACAATTCTCAAAGAAGATACACAAATGGCCCCTCAGGGAACAGGAAAAGATGCTCAACATCATTAGCCATCAGGGAAGTGCAAACCAAAATCACAATGAGATGCCATTTCATACCCACTACGATGGCTATCATGCAAAAGTTAGACAATGAAAAGTGTTGATGAGGATGTAGAGAAATTGACACCCTCATATATTACTGGTGAGAATGTAAAATGGTGCAACCATTTTGGAAAAATAGTCTAGTTTCTCAGAGAGTTAAACATGGAGTTCCATTTGATCCAGCAATTCCATGCCTAAGTAGAACACAGGAGGACTGAAAACACAGGGCCACACGCAAATTTGCACACAAAAGTTCACAGCAGCATTATTCATAATAGCCCCAAAGTGGAAACAACTCAAATGTCCGTCAGTGGATGAATGGATAAACAAAGCATGGACTATCCATATAATGGAATACTGTTCAGCTCTAAAAAGGAATAAAATACTGATACATGTCACGATATCGACGAACCGTGAAACATGATGCTAAGCGAAAGAAGCAAATCACAAAAGACCACATATTACACAATTCAGTTAGAAAAATGTCCAGAAGAGGCACATCTATACAAACAGAAAGTAGAGTAGCAGTTGCTTAGGGCTGGGGGGAGGGTGGGGAAGAGGGATTGGGGTTAATAGCTGAAGGGTACGGGGTCTCTTTCTAGGGTAATGAAAATGTTCTAGAATTTATTGTGGTGTGGCTGCACGAGTCTGCGAATATACCAAAAGCCATCAAATGGTGCATTAAAGTTAAGTGAGTGACTTGCGTGGCATGTAACCTGTATCTCAATAAAGTTGTTACATGCACAAGAAAGGCACACGATGCAGCCAGGATGGGGAGGAACTTCCTTTGGGCTCTAGCTTTCTTCTTAGCCCCTCTCGTCCTCACTCTCCCTCCAGGGTGTCTTCCTTCCCACCACGTTCCAAGCCAGGAGTGTCTTAATCTGTCCTTGGCCATCCCTGTTGCCTTCCCGTTCTTCTGGGTTGATCACTGACTGTGCCGGCCTTTCATCGCCCGGTGTCTGTGATAGCTGCAGTCAGTTCTCAGAGTTCTTTCTGATTGAAGAATCCAGAATTGAGAAGGATCGGCTTTCTTCTAGATATCAGGCTGCCATTTGTGAAGTGGCCATCCAGTGGCCAGGGGCGCCCAGATCCTTAGCTTTAGCTGGGTACCGGGGCCACGTAACTCCCACAGCCCCAAGAACAAGCAGATTCCTGAAACTAGAGCTCACATCCACGTCTGCTAGGGCAGCAACGGTGCCAGCAGGCCCTGTGGAGACAAAGACAAACACGGCGGGCCCTCTGCCATCGAGACCTTGGCTGAAGGAAGACTGTGCTGAGTGTCTCAGAGAAAAGGAAGTGGGCAGTGCAGATGGGGGTCTAGGAGCCAGGCCTTGAAGGAGGAGAATTTCAATAGGGAAGGGCATTCCAGGTAGGTGGAACAGAACATGCAATGACGTACAGACAACATGTGTGAACCATATGAATTAATCATTTTTATGGGGGAAAAAACTGATCAAATATCAGCAATTTCATATAAGTCAATCTAAGCAGGCACACAGGGAGATGAGCCCAGTGCAGCTAGACCAGTGGTTCTCAAAGTGTGTTCCATGGAATCCTAGGGTCCTGAGATCTTGCAGGGGATCTGTGAGGTCAAAGCTCTTAATACTAAAGCATTACTTGCCCTTTTCACTGGGCTGACATTTATACTGACATGACACTGGTGCAAAGCCATGATGGACAGAGCTGCTGGAACCTCAGCTCAAATCAAGGCAGTGGCACCAAGCTCTACCCGTGGTCATTGTCACTTTACTACCATGAGCGCACGGAAAACCCAGCGTACTGAGAAAGCACTAAAAATAGTTAATTCTATTAAATCTCCACCCTTGAGTAAGTACACATCTCTTTAATATTCTGTGTGATGAAATGCAAAGAGGGAAGGAGAGCAGCTGCCCTGAGGAAGAGCGCCCGTGCGGCCAGGTGTCTGAGTTCCCAGCTGAATCAGCCGCCTGTTTGAGGGAGTACCACTTTTACCTAAAAGAACGACTAATGGACAGACTACGCCTATTCAGGCTGCAGTTGTGGACAAGCATCTCCCTGAAAATGAGTGATGTGAGCTGGCACTTGAAGGTAAACAGCTGACAGCATTTGTTGCCGATGAAAAACTTGAGCTCTCAGCAAAAATGAGGATTTTGGAAAACGTGTGTCTGCCACTGTCAGCCTGAGGTAAAGACATTCCTGATGAGATTGATGGCGATGTTAACAAAGGTGCTTTTTGGATGACATGTAATCAAATATGTCAACATCTAGAAGATATGCATCACCCCATGACCCAGTATTTGCCAGGTGACAAACACCCCATATAAAAAATCTCCCCCGGGTCAAAGAGCCACTCAAAGTACAAGCTGGACCAGTGGGTTTCACTGCAACAGAGGACGCACATTTCATAAAATTCCTCAAGATGGTTTCAGAATCCATATGCTAAGTAATCTTTAATAAACTCCCACCTGTCCAGTTTTGGGGTGGTTTCAAAGGAGAATATCCACAATTACCTTAGAAAGGCATTAAAATACCCTCCCTTTTCCAGCAGCGTGTCTCTGAGAGGCTGGGCGTTCCTTACACACTGCAGCCAACACTGCTCGGATGCAGAGGCCGGGATGAGACCCTACCTGTCTACCGTCTCCTAGTCAGCCAGACAAGAGCTGGCAAAACTGTAAACCGGTGACACTCATTTCACTGAGTTTGTTGTTACTGTTTCAAAAAATTCTCATTTTTCATTTAAAAATCATTATTAATGTTAACACATTATGAGTTTATCATTATTTTAAAAGAAATATTTCTAAATGAATATTATTTTTATATAAATACTAATTTATTTTCAAATCTATTCATATATAAATAATATAGATTATCATTTACTTTGTTTATGATTTAATTAACACCAATATTTTTCCTTTAATTGCGATCTTTTTTTTTTAATTGCAGTAACGTTGGATTATAACATTATATAACTTTCAGGTATACACTGTAATATATTTTGCATTCTGTGTAGATTACATCATGTCCACCAGCCAAAATTAATTATAATCCATCACCACACCTGTGTACCTAGTCACCCCTTTTGCCCTCCCCCTCCCCCCTTTCCCCATGGTAACCAACAATCCAAGCTCTGTTGCTATGTGTTTGTCATCGTTTTTATCTTCTACTTATGAGTGAGATCATATGGTATTTTAGTGATTTACTATTATTTTTAATGAATAAATATGGTAAATGAACTAACAAATATTTCTCAGCTTTAATTTCTAATACAGTAATCACCAATAGACATCAGCGCGTAAACTCCAGTTGTATGATTGCTCAGCTTTGCTTCTATAATTGTTGGGAGTAAAGGGGTCCTGAGACCACAGTGTTTGAGAACCACTGGCCTAGAGCATGAGGTGCTGGCCCCAGGCTGGCAATGCAGGGTCCACTTAAAGCAACTGACCCACACTCCTGCTGTGCCCCTTAGCCTGGCTCCCTCTGCATCCCCCAAGATCCTGCCCCGGCCACCCCACCCGGGGCTGGACTCTACCCTACCACCTTCCCTGGAGATGCACCCTGGAGCCTCTCACCCTAGTCGCCTTAAGTTCTGGAGAAGTCTGCAGCAGAATGAGGAGCGTCCCCTGATCGCAGTCTCCTCCTCCACAGCCGTGGATCTGCCCTGTCTGCTGGGGAGGGAGGAGAGAGCTTCTGTGCACCTGTGAGCCCCGGGTCTGTGAAGCTGTGAGTGCCTAGTGTGTGCACCTGTGAGTCTGGGTTTGCATACCTGTGAGCTCCTGGTCTATACACCCATGAGCATGTATGAATGAATTCGAGGCAGCATCTTCCTGGGAGGCTGGAACACTAGGGGGTTCTCCAAGTCCTGACCCACCCTTCCCCCACGAGGACCCCTAGACAGTGCCTACCAGGGAGCCCTGGGAAGTGTGGGAAGGGGTCAGGACAGGAGCACTCTGAGGGTCCTGCTCAGTCACGTTTATCAGCAGGGGGAAGCCCTCCCTTACAACCCCCCGATGGTCCTGCACTGTCCACTACCCTGCTGGGGACTTTGGGTGAGTCCTTGCTCCTCTCTGGCCTCGGTTTCCCTATCTAGGAATGGAGGGCACTGAGCCATGTGACTCCAGCCAATGGTTCCCAGTCCCTGGCAGTGACTGACCCACCATACTTGGGGACCCATACCCTCTAAGCAATGCTGCCCCACCCTGGCTCCTGGCAGGCTCACCCCTCGCCCTTCCTACCCCTTGCCCCCCATTCTGTCTCGTACCTCAGATAACCAGGGAAACTGTCACTGAAGGAGGCCAGCCGCTGATCCACAGTCTGTCTGTCTCTGCTCTCACTGAGCTGGAGGATGTACTCCTGTAGATTGTCCAAAGCCGGGCCCTGCAGGGAGCAGGGTGAGAGAAGAGACCTGGAAAGGGAGGTCAGAGGCCCCCACCCCCCACGCCCACCCAAGGGGTCTGTGGCTCACCCTGTGCTCCCTAAAGGTGGTGCCCAGCTTCCAGATGTCCGTTTCCACCTGATCACGGAGGTGCCCCGAAGTCCTGGGCACCAGCCTCCTGAGATAAGCAGCCAGGGCCTGGACGTACTCCCCAAAGACCACCATATTCAGACTCCTCACAAGGCTCTACGCCCCGAAAAGACAAAAAGATGGGAAGACCCAAGTGAAAGCAGTCCCAGGGCACAGTCCAGCTGGCCTTGGTTGTACACCCTCAGGGACATGGGGCGGCAGGGTGTTACAAATCCCCCCCATCACAGGTCTGTCCGGGCCTGTACCCCCCACCCCACAGATCGAACCCCTAACCACTTGGCTTTTCAGAGGTTGCCTGCCTCAGCTTCTTGGGGTGACCTTCAGCAAGTCACATCACCTCCCTGAGCCGGCCTCCACCTTGGGAGACCAAGGGCTGGCCAGGGTGACACGAGGGCCATCCAGCCCAGCCCGTCTTGGGCCCTGGGCCTCCGTGTTGGCAAGGGTTCCCACACCCCTTTGACACCTAGCCCACATTGGGGAGGGTCAGGATCCCAGTGGCCATGCAGAGCTGATCCCCAGGGTGTCCCCCCTCCCCCCACTACCTCGTATGTGGGAGTAGGGTGCATGTTGGGGCAGTGCTCCAGGCTCTGCCACAGGGACCGCAGAGATTGGACCAGATCCTTGTTCTTCTCTCCGAAGTGACAACTCAGCAGACTCTGAGGACAGGAGGGTCGGATGTCACCGCAGCCCGAGGCGCCCAGGCTGGCTATAATTTCTCCGGCCCTCATCCTTTCCCCCTCCAGCTCTGTGACACCCACCTTTCTCTGCTGGACCCACAGTCCTGGACCAGAAGGGCCCACACCGAGGGAGCCAGAGGTTTGCCCACTTTCTGCCCCAAAACTCTGTCCACCCTTCTCCTGCCAACTCCTGGGAGGGCCCCAGGTTCAAACAGCAGCCCTGGACTCGAGCTTCTCTCAGAGCCCTCCCGAGTCCCTCCCCTCTCTCCGTGACCACCGAGGCATGGCAGGAGCCCCCGACGATGCTTGCTCCCCTCAGAGCTAAGCTCCAGAGACATGGGGTGGCGAGAACCACAGCTGCTCCACCCACATGCAGCCCTAGTCTGCTCAGTTCTCAGTGGATGCCAAAGGTGGGTGGGTGGGGGAGGCAAAACCAGCCTGCTGAGTGTCTACTCAGGGGACCTGAACAAGTCCCATTCCCACTACGACCCTCAGGGCCCAATCTGTGTGATGCAGCCTCGTCAGCATCATCTAGGAAATGTGAAGCCAAGTCCATGATTGGCCGTGGCTGCTGGGACCTCTGGGTGGAGAAGGAGCCTGGGCCTCCATCTGGGCCCTGAGAAGAATGTTGGGATTGATGGGCAATGTGTGCCACACCTCAGCGTGAGGCAAGGGCAGTGTGCGTGCTGTGCTTTTCTTGTCCCTAGAGGAGATGAACTCTCTAGGTCTCTCCACCTCTGGGTCTTCCCATGCCACCCTGAGCCAGGTGCTCAGATCTCTGTAGAAAATTCAGTGGCGGCTGCCTCAGAAGCTGGTCCCCACAGTGGAAAATGGATCCTTGGACAAAGCTGCAGCAATGCAGACCCACCCTCACCAGCACCTCCCATCTTCCCAGCCAGGAGGCCCCTGTGAAGAGAGGGCCAGTGTGGGCCTTGCCCTCAGCCAGAAGTTGAATGGATCCCGGGAGGCCTCAAACCCTGAATTTGAGTGGGAAACTCACCTGTGGTTCCCATATCCTGGGGGACCCCTTGCCCTCTCAGGGCTTCATCTCCAGGGTCAGGCCCCAGGCATCCACGGGGAGCCCTGAATCCTGGGCAAGGCCCTGCCTTGAAGGCAGCCACAGCTCAGGGGAAGGCAAAGATGAACGGGCATGGAGGCCCTGGGAACTCAGTGCAGGGGGCTTCGCCTGCCTAGGGATGCCCGTGGCTCAGAGCTGGGATCAGGGGGAGGGGGAAGGGAGTCGGGCCTGGAGGAGCGAGTGCCAGGCCTCAGCTGGCCTGGCAGACTGAATGATTTCACAGGAAGAGAGAAGAAGGAGCAGGTCTGGCTGAGGTGACAGAGGGACACAAATGTGGACCCTGCCCAGGGAGGTGCCCTCGGTGAGGATGGAGCCAGGCCTCATGAGGGGCTGCAGGCCCACCCCACCCCTCTCCCCCAGACAGGGCCCCTCCCTCGGGCCAGACAGAAAGCTGACCCTGTCCTTCTGCTGCTCCACACACAGGACTCAGGGCTGGGGAGGGCAGGAGGACTGACAGAGACATCTCCAACCAGGTTCCATCGCTGGCACTTTGCCATGTCCTGTCCCAGTAAAGGCTCTGTTGGGCTGGACGGAAGCCAGGGAGACAGGCCTCCTGCCCAGCTTCTCTGGGAGCAGAAATGACCCCAGGCCAGGGCTGGGGTGTGGGACATCACCTGGCACAGGGCTCTGACTCGAGGCAGGAGGTGGTCCCGGCCATGGTCCTCAATGCCTTTGATGGCACCTTGCACAGCTGGGTCCAAGCGTGCCCAGGGAACGTGCGCCCTGCTCAGCCACCACCATGTCTTCCTGTCAGGGGCAATAGAAGGGGCCCATGTGGCCTGGTCAGGAGCACTGTGGGCCCAGCCACAGCCCCAATGCTGCACGCCCTCCCGTGCTGGTGCCCCTCCATGTTGCCTCCCAGAGGAAAGACGGGAAACAGATGCTCATTTCTGTTGTTGTTGTCTATTTCACCCCCACTCTTTTTCCTAAATTTTATTTTTTGAGGACGATTAGCCCTGAGCTAATATCCACCTCCAATCCTCTTTTTTGCTGAGGAAGACTGGCCCAGAGCTAACATCCATGCCCATCTTCCTCTATATGTGGGACGCCTGCCACAGCATGGCACAATCATCGGTGCGTAGGTCTACGCCCAGGATCCAAACTGGTGAACCCATGGTCTCCGAAGCGGAGCGCGTGAACTTAACTCCTACAACACCAGGCCAGCCCCACTAAATGTATTTATTTATGGAATAAGCGTGACATCCATGTGGTTAAAATACAAAAGGAAAACTTCCTCTCCCCAGAAGCAGCCAGTGTTATTGGCACCTGGCCTTTCCTGAACCCAATCCTGCAATTCCGTACACACATGTGTGTGTAGGGTAGGTTCTTCCCCCTTTTCTCACAGATGGCAGCAAATCAATGGTCCACATGATTGGCCCACAGGGTCCAAAGCCTGGCTGCCTAGCCCACCAGCTCAGCTGGCCCCCTGCCCAAGCCTGGGACATACCTGAGGATGCAGCAGTTTTCCAGCACATGCAGCTCGGGAAAGGTGTGGTCACTGGCGTTCTGCTGGATGAAGACTTCAGCCTTATCCTTGTAGCTGCGGTGTGAAGAAGATGCTGGCCCCTCCCACCAGGCACAGCCCCCCAGGTCAGCCCCACCCAGCCAGGCCCTCAAAACTCTCCCTTCTCATCTCAACTGCTGCTTCTCTCATAGAATCACAAATGTGGGTGATGATAACCGTGATGGAGACTATGCAGCGAGGATTTACTCGCGCTGGCTCTGTGCCAGGTGCTGCAGCCAGATGCTTCCTGAGGATCTTTTCATTGAACGCTCTCCACGACCTTTTGGGGTAAATGCTTCCAGAAAAGGATGGGAGCAGGGTTTCCCAGTGGTCTGGAATCACAGCTAACCCTGCATTCTAGAGGCCCAGCCTTCCTGGCTGGTGAAGGAAAAGGTCAGGAAGAAGGCAGCGCTCCCAGAGCCGGGCTGGCCCCCTGGGAGAGTCTGAGTAAGGCCTGGGAGTGCACACAAGAAGGGGAGGTAGCCCCATGCCCACCTGGGCCATCACAGCTGGCCTCCCTTCCCCAGGCAGAGAGTGAAGAAAGGTGGCAGAGAGCGTACACACTCCCTGCTCCCTAAAGGCAAGGAAGAAGAGGTGCCCTTGAGCGTCTAGTCCCAAGAATGCGGATCAGGGTCTCAAACTGGCCACTGAGCAGATTTTCTGAAACGTTGAAAACCCGGCTGAATTCACCTAAAAATCCACTTCTCTGGCCTCTCTTGAGTAACCCACCTGGTGTCAGCACCTTTGGAGACCCCATCCCAGGTGAACACAGCCATCTGAAGACCCCAGACACAGGAGCCTCCTGACGCAGCCTCACACAGCACTTTGTCCGAAACTAGCTTCTTAGTAATTCCCCACAGCCCCAAGGACTCCACAGCACCTCCTCTCACCCAAGCCCATTAAGACAGAGGCAGAGTCCCCACCTAACCCTGCGGCTGGGACAGAGCTGGGTGAGCAGCTCAGGGATTTGACAGCAAGTCCTGCTGTGAAAACCAGAGGGAGGAGAGGGGGCGCTGGCCCCGGCTGCTTGTTTAAGGGAGCACCAAGAAGTTGAGTGACTGAGATAAATAGTAATTTACTGCGATTTATTTTTTTCCCCATGGAGGAAGATTGACCCTGAGCTAACATCTGTGCCAATCTTTCTCTATTTTGTATATGGACTGCCACCACAGCATGGTTGACGAGTGGTATAGGTCTGCACCCAGGATCCAAACCCGCAAACCTGGGCCACCAAAGCGGAGTGTGCAGAACTTTAACCACTTGGCCACAGGCCGGCCCCTACTGCAATATTTTTAAACCTTGAAATCTGTGCCAAAAAGTCCATGATGAACAAAACACCAAGTTTTAAATCAGGACAGGATCTGACGCAGCACTTTCACGATGCTCCTCCCTGGTTCCCCCAATCCCAGCCCTGCTGTCCAGTACAGGAGCCCCGCGCCCCATGTGCTGTTCAAATGTTGAATAATTAAAATTAAATAAAATCTAAACTTCAGTTCTTCCGTGGAACTAGCTCAACAGCCACCCAGATCTGGTCCCTCCATGTTGGACGGTGCTGACATGGGACATTTCCATCCCCTGCCTCCAGAGCCAGGGCACGAGGTGGAGCAGGCACGACTTGGGGGACCTGAAGCCAATCCCGCCCCCTTCCCTGCATCGGGAACTGGCCAAGGCGTGGTGGCCAGCGGCTGGTGGGCTTAGTTAGCTCTCTGACTTGAGTTAGGTAGACCCAGCCGTGCATGCTCCCCTGCTCTGAGCAGGGGCCACCTTTTCACTTACCTTTCCAGAAACTTTGAAAATGTTTCCAGAACCATGGCTTGAACCCGTCTGGTGACGGATGGCCCAATGTGTCGGACTGCATCTACAGCTTCTTTCAGTAGCTGTCAGTCAAAACAAACAGGCTTTCAGGGGGTCCCAGGGCCGACCACATAGCCAGTGGACGCTGGGAGGATGTGGTCCTCCCCAATTTTGTACCTGTGCCCCACCCCTTGCCCCCCTGCCATGTCTGCCTACTGCAGATGCCACGCCATCCACCAGGCCCATGACCCAACACATCTCGGCAGGTCTCTCTCCCTCACACCCCTCACTGTGTCCTGCAATCAGCCAACCTGAACAGCATTCTCACCCACGTGCTAGGCTTCACCTGTTTGGCCCGGAGGCTGCCCCAACCCCACCTGAGTGCCAGCTCCCCACCCAAGACTCTGCACAGGGCATCTTGGCATAAAGGTATTGAGGATGCCTAAGGTCCCCCCCATCTCCTTTTCTCCCTCCAACCCTGAGCAGTCAAGAGAAGCATCAGAAACCCCCAAACCCAGATCCTCTAAAAAAGGCCACCCCCCACAACACACACACACACACACATGCTGGTGGCCTGTCTTCCTGCCGGGCCAAATATCCGTCACCCCCATGGGCCACATGACCGTCTCCTTGAGGCTCAGTGCCCACCTTGCTAGAGTCCCGCCCACTGCAGGCACCCATCTCTATGTAGGTCCTAACTGAGGCCCAGCAGTCAGGTTCATAAGCTGAGAGCTTCCAGGAAGAGGCCTCTCCCCAAAAGATACACCCTGCATCCCAGCACTGGGACCCCACCATCACAAGCCAGGTTTCCAAGTTGAGTGCTCTCTGCTCCCCACTTCTCTGCTTGATGCCCTCAGACACCACACATGTACCCCAATGCTGTCATTGCTCTAATGCCCCAGAGCCCCAATCTCCACCCTGCTCTGTCCCCTCCTGGCTGCACCCTGCCCCTGACCACCCATCAGTCACATTGCCCCTCCCCAATGAACCCGGCCCTCAGGAAGGGCCCAGGACCCCTTGTGGTGAGTTTGAAAGGGGCCACCTGGCATTTACCTGGTAGATTTCAAGGAACACTGAGGAGGCAGACTCGGTCCACTTTTTCTGATCACAGATCAGAACATTTTCTAGACACTTTTTCAACTCCTCCTGCCCAGAACACAATAAAAACAACTTTTATCCCAAGAATCTGCTCCAAAGCACAGCCAGATCCTGCCCCTCTACAGCTGTGGCTGATGCTGCCAACTGAGGACAGGAGTGGGGGTAACAACTGGCGATGGCCTGGAGCCCCCACCAACCCACAGCCTGAAATCCGTCCGGGAGGTACTCAGTTTCCTGAGCAGTCCTCTTCTTTCGTGGCCCCCATCCCTCTGTCCCTCAGGGCTGGTCTGTGAAGCACCTTTGAGATACTCCCTCTCTTTCATTCCTGGCAAGACAGCTGCTTCCCACTGTAACCCAGTCACTGGATCGGAGATGACGAACGTCTACCTCTCCTTGGGAACCATGGCCCTCACAGCAGCCGTGAGCTGGCAGAGGTGCCCGGAGACCTACAGTCTGAGGGGTGCACGGGCTGCGGACTGCTAGGACAGGACCTGGGCCAAGCGCCTGGGGTTTACCGAGGGCTGTGGGAACAGGGCTGGGCCAGGGAGGCCAGGGCACTGGAGCCTAGCTTCTGGCCAAAACCCAAAGAGTAACCCCTCGGGCCCACCCACAGGCAATGACAAAGGCTTTCCCTGGCAGGCTCATGGGGAAGCCACCCTCCCCACATGGGGCCCGGGGCCCAGCTAGTGCACTGCAGTCTCAGAGAGAGCTGCCAGCAAGGGCTCGGCCGTGTCTCCCATGCATGTCTCTGTTCCTAACCCAGGCACCTCCATCTGGAGGCCTGCTTATGGGGGCCCCTGGCCAAGCACTCAGTACTTTTCCACTCCTAGCCTTCCCTCCCCCATGCACCTGATCCTCACCAGGCAGCGGTCCTAGGGGGGTGCAACAGGGGAGCGGGTGCTTGCTGGTAGCACCTCAGTAAGATGCGAAAGTCTGCACTGTTACTTCGTTCTGGCTGCTTGTCTGAATTGACCACTTGGACACCCCACAGCTGAGACCAGCTCCTGGTGGTCAGAGTGTGGAAGAGCAGAGAGTGATAAGCCCTGTCTCCTTTAACTCAGCCCAGATTATGACTTTGAAGACTCATGGGGAGCCATGAAGGACCAGGAGGCCACAGACCCAAGTGCTTCAAGGAGGCAGAGCCCTGAGTCTGGCCATCCTGTCTTGTTAGCCCCTGAGGAAGAGGCTGGAGGCATTTATATACCAGTTCCTGGACAATTCCAGTTAAATCTACACCTATTCTTTATCTCACTGTCACAAAGCTTAGTTTCTAAGCTAAGAAGGGCAGAGAGCTTCCCCAAACCCGAAAAGCTTTTTCCACTAGTCCGCATGACCATTGACACATCTGTGACCTGAGACTAGAAATCCTTGTTATAGGAAACCACATTGGTTGAAACTGATCACGGTAGAAAACTGTGATGTCCCCTTAAGTCCTGTGTTTGCCGTGGATGAACTGTGTGTGCCCACCTGGGGACAACCAGCTCTCCATCCAAGGCTCACCAGTCTGCCATGTCACTCACTGGTGCATACAGAGCCAGACGCATACTGGTCAGGGCAGCAGCATTGCATGCTGTCCGTGAAAGCCTCGTGCCCCGGCCCACAGCACACTGTTATCTCCCACACGTGACAGTGGTCAAAGGCCAGAATCAGCACCCTGCCCCCACTCCTAGGGGTGGACGTGGGCTCTGGCTCAAGCCCACCACCCATGGCCCAATCTGGCCCCTCCCCTACCTACTGTCCCCCAGAAGCAGGACAAGGACACCTTGGTGGCAGATGCCCCTGGAAGCCATTTACCTGGATCAGCCCCACCAGCTTCTCCTGCATTTGGAATATCCAGGTAATGAACATCATTGAGTCCAAGAGGTTCCCGGCCATGGACTTCTGGGAGGTGGGACCTACTCTCTGAAGCATCTCCCTGCTGAATTTGGAGGAGCCATGAGTGCACAAGGCTGAGCGTGGCTGGGGAGGGGGGGGGGGGGTGGTGAGAGGGGCTGGGGTAGAGAGGACAGCTCAGAGCTAAGGACAGTGGACTCCAGGCTGGCAGTGCTGGTCCTGTGACTGGAGAAGGCAGCTGGGGTTGACAAGAGGGAGCAAAAGACTCTACTGGGGTAGACAAGCCTCAGGGGTCACACACAAGCACGGGCCATGAGCTCCCCATACACATGCATGGACACAACCTAACATGCACACTGACACACACTACCACACCCATACACACACTACACAAAGAACACACTGACGCACACACACTACCACACACGAATGTGCACACACTGTCCCCACGGCCGCTGAGTCTGGCCTTCCCTCATGACACTCCCGCCTGGGCAATCCTTCCAAAGGCCTCTGTGTTGACCTCAGCCCTGGGCCTGAGGGCCCTCGCCACCAGGCACTGGCCTCGTCCAGGACCCCAAGGTCCTCAGGAGGACTCACCCCAGCTGCCCAAACAAGGTCGTCTTGCCCCAGTTGTACAGCTCAAAGTAGGCTTCCCTGTCGTGACTGTAGGAGGAAGGGAGCTCGGAGAGGCGGCTGAGGAGGACCTCCTGGAAACACGTCCTGTAGATTTCCCAGAGGGGGGCCCCCATCCGGCCTGCCCTCTGGGACCCTAGGCTGTGTCCCACAGCTTTGTCCAGCTCCTTCAGGTACGGGCGCAGCTGGGTGCTTGGCTTCATAGTGGGCAATTGGTCCTCAGCATCTGTTCTCAGGAGCCTCTCCAGATGACTTCCCCAGAAAGCAACTCCACCATCCTCGAGGGCGCTGGCCTCCCAGCTCTGGGGGTTGTCCTCCACCCACTCCACAGTGGCCACCACTGCCTGGAGCTTTAGCTCCAGCTTCTGGCTGTACCCAATGCCTCCCAGAGCCTCCTTGATGACCTGCCACATGCTCTCAGCCACAACCTTGTACTGGAGACCACAGTCCTGCCCTTCCTGTGACAACTCCGAGATGCTCTGGCAGGCTTCCAGGAACTGCCCCTTCTGTACCAACTTTTGGAAATCTGGAAGAAAGGAGCCCAGAAATGATGACTCAGAGAGGCCTTGGAAACACGGAAATCAGGTGAGGTGGGAGAGGGGCACCTGCCCAAGGGGATTCCTCAGTGTAATTCTCACTCGCATAAGGGTGGGTTTGGGCCAAGCTGTATTGAACTCACCCATCAGGGGAACCAGCAAGAGGCCAAGGCGGCCAGTTTGAAGAAGCTTTGGGAACAGGGGTCTATGTAGCCAGTCAGATCGGAAGGCCACAGATTTCTTACTATGGTTGCAGGAGACTGGTAGGCTTTGCACTGTGTCACCTTCAGAGCAGAAAATCACAACACTCAGAGCTTTCTTCTGGTGAGCCTCTGAGCTCCCAGGCTATTCATGATCTGAGCCTTTATCAGCTGTGGGTTGTTAACCCAACATTCTGAGATAACAAAGCTATGTCCCCCACCAGAGGTCCAGAGAACAGAGGGTTCATTCAAGCCCAGATTGGAATTTGCATCTCTGGCATGTTCCCAGGTGGTGCTGATGGTGCTGGTCCCCGGACCACACTTGGGGAACCACTCCTCCATCTGGGTATCAAAGGGCAGTCCATATTCCACCTGCATCCACATCTGGGATCAACCAGATAGACAGGCAGAGAGAAAGAGAGAACGCAATCTTCCACAGAACCACCCTGGGCGGGGCCTGATCCACAGGAGGGTGGGGTGCAGGCGGGAGTTCAAGGCAATTCTTTCCCCCTCACACGGTGCCTGAGGCTTCCCAGTTTCTGCCCCTTCTGCAGACAAGGAGGCAGCCCAGGCCTGAGCAGTAGCTGGAGGCACAGCCTCCAAGATGGGGTGCCCAGGACTTCTCCCCGGAAGTTCAGAGGAAAAGGGCAACCTCACCCACATCGGTCAGTCCACACAGGGACAAGCGCCTGAGAGGGACCAGGGGACCGAAGGCAGAGGCCCCCTGCCAAGGCTGCTGCCCAGTCAGGGCCTTGGTTCTCCCCTGGACAGGGTGGTGGCCTCCTTGTGGTCCCCGTGTCTCCATTCTCACCTCTTCCCTCTATCCTGCTGCTGCCATGCCCATAAGCAGTGACCAGGCCACCTGTGGAGCTCTGTCCAGGGCCCTGCTTGAGGCCACCATGCCCTCCCCCTCCTGACCTGAACACATCATTTCTCCAGAGCCCCCAGCGCTACCTTGTGACCCTGGCCACCCCTCACTGTTCAGGGCAGGCACGTCACCCAAGCAAGGCCAGTCGAGGCTCCACCAGGACTCCCTGACATGGCCCAGAGGGTGGTGGCGTACTTGCCAGCACAAGAAGGCATCCTGGCCAGGGATGGTGGAAAGGGTCCCCAGGCCACCTGCACCCCTTCCTGCCCCTGTGCTGGGCTGTCCACCATCCTTGTATTTCATCAGTCCCCATTCTTGAAGCAAACATGACAGATGGGGGGCCCTTGTGAATTCTGGAGCTCTGGTGTTATTCTCTGTGCTTTTCTGAATGTTCTTAATTTCTCAGATATTTAAAAAGGAAGAAAGTTCATGTTGGGGGTTGAATAGTGTCTGTCCCCAACCCAGATTCACTTCTTTCCCAAAACTGCAAAATGTGACCTTATTTGGAAATAGGGTTGTTGCCAGTGTGATTAGTTAAGATGAAGTCCCACTGGAGTAAGGGGGGCCCTTTATCCAATAGGACCAGTGTCCTCACAAGAAGAGAAAACAGAGACACAGAGAGGAAATGAGGCCGCGTGAGGAGGAGGCAGAGACTGGAGTGTGCATTCATAAGACAAAGGTTGCCAGCAGCAGCAGAAGCTGGAGGAGGCAGGAAGGACCTGCCCGTTGAGCCTCCAGAGGGAGCACGGCCCTGCCCACACCTGGATGTCGGACTTGGGCCTCCGGGACTGTGAGCAAACGAATGTCTGTGGTCTTAAGCCCCCTGCTTTGTGGCAATTTGTTACGGCAGCCACAGGACTCACCCAGCCCCTTCAGCTTGCGCTGGGCCAAGTTCAGACTCACCTTACCAAGTGCAGTTCTTCTACTGTCTGAAACGCTTCTCCTGTGCCCCACTCCCCGAGCCAAAGCCCTGGCCTCCTAGCTGGCCCTTTCTGTGCAACCTGTTCACCAGGTGAGTCTCAACACCCGAGACTGGGCCTCCCCGCCACCCTCAGCCCCTGACCCAGGATGTACCTGCAGCACTGGCTTTCCAAACTCGCTGGAGGCCTCACCTGGAGACTGTCCCCTTCCCACCCCACACCACCACACCACAACAGAGACATTCCCAGTTGTCTGTCTTCCTCCCCTAGGGACCTCTCCCCGGACCCTCTAACCCAGCGCAGGGCCTGCACACACACTTCCACCACCCTTAACACCAATCCCTGGGAGAGGGGGAGAGAGGGAAGTCACCTGGGCCTCGAGGGACCTGCAAGTCCTCGCCAGAGGAGTATCCCTGATGGCAGCCCAGGAGAAGGGCTGGTGTGGGGCAGCCCTGATGGGAAGGGACGGTTGGGAACAGGCTGTCGGGACCGGGGAGTAGAGTCATGAGGCGCTAGAGCCGGCATCAGGGTGTGAGTGGGTAGACTGAGAGGGGCCTGTGATGGGGGCACGGGCTGGGAAGCCCTCAGACCTGAGGGGGAACAGCTGCCAGCCTGTGCAGTGTGGACGGGAGGGACCACCCCCTGTCCTGCCAGGGCCCCTCGGGGCTGCACCCTGAATGGGACCCTCGGGAGGGCAGAGGGGCTGAGAGACTGACTGCAGAAGCAGTCACCACCCAAAGGGCAATGGCCCAAGACCAAGGGCTCCGTGGGCATCTGGATCTTTCCAGCATCTGGCAGGTTTCAAAAGCCTCAGCTTCTCATATTTAGGATCAGGGGCAGCAGCTCATGAGAGGTGGTGGTGGCCGTGTCGCTAATCAGCTCCCCATGAGAAGCACAGAGATGCCAGGAACTGGGCTTGCAGCAAAACAAAACGGAGAGGTTTGGAATATGCTGGATGGAAAAGGATGACACCCCAGTTCAGGGAGAAGCGCTCGGGGGCTGGAGACACTCCTCTCCCTAAACGCCGTGGGCGTCAGGCAGAGCGGGGGTGGTCTGAGGATGCCCTAACTCAGCAGGCTGTGCCAGGCAGGGAGGGATCTGAAGGGGAGAGCTATGCTCTGGATCCCAAAGGAGTCTCAGCAAGACAACCCAGCCTGTAGCTGCAGGAGGAAGGCTCTAGAGAGCCTCAGAGCCAAAAGAGGAATTGGGGTTAGGGCGTGGGGTCCAAGGCACTTAGAACACTTAGACATCAGTTCTTATGGACTTTATGAAAAGGCATTTTTGAACTTAAACTTCTCCCTGGAAATTGCAAAATGGAAGGGGAGTTATATTCCAAGTTGTGTCTCAAAGGGCCTTTCCTTTGTCAAGGGCAAAGGCCTGCCCTCCCCTTGTCTATTCCTCCTTCCTGATAGCTGGAATGCATATGTGATGACAGGAGCTGGGCAGCCATCCTGGGCTATGAGGCAGGAGCCCCATGTAGAGGATGGCAGAGAAGTACAATAAAAAGGTCTGGGTCCCTGAGCACTGAGGAGCCCTGGACCGCCTACCCAAGTCTTTCACAAGAGAAGCAAATTTAATCTTGCTTAAGCCACTCTTTTTTGGGGTCTGTCAGTGAAAGCAGCTGAATTTATACCATAGTAACACAAAGAATTATATTATTATGTACAAAGAATACTGTACAAAGAATAATATAAAGAGTTATATCATAATACTACAAAGAGTGGAATACGGGATGGAAATTATTTTAAACCAAAGCAAGACGGCCTCCAACAGCATTTAACTATTTGGGGGGTGAAGATTCTCTATCCATCTCTAGTAGATAGATCCTTGTTGATAATAATTAATTAGATTGGCCTTGAAAATAGGAACTGTAGCTCCTGGAATCTCTGTGATGTTCCAGGCTCAGGGTCAGCCAGGCATCATTCCCCTTCCTTCTAGAGCTGCGCCATCCAGCACACCACCACGAGCCACGTGTTGATATGAAGCGCTTGAAATGTCCAGATGGAGCTGTGCTGTCAGTGCGAAACACACCTCAGATTTCAAAGACTTAGTTGGGTTAAAAAGATGGAAAGTAAAATATCTTAATTTTAATATTGATTGAATGTTGAAACTTGTGGAAATGCTATTTTAGCTATCTCGGGCTAAATAAAACACATTACTAAAATTAATTTCTCCTATTTCTTTTTATATGTGTTAGTGTGACTATAAAAACCTTCACATTACCTGTGGCTCCTGCTCTGTTTGCACAGACAGCGCTGTTCTAGAGCACGCTCACCCTCTACCTCTGACACTGTTTATCCCATGCCAATCTGGCTCTCTTCTGACTAGGTGTCATGATCCCCCTACCCAAAAATGACTGAGGCCCTTACAAGGTCCCTGAGGGACCCTGAGGGCTCCCAGACTTCGCGCAACCGTGGCTGCATTTCTAGGATTTGTCAGCAAGGACATGTGGGGAGGGGATCAGACATAGGGTGTCCACCACTGCTTCCACACACGCCCTGGCAACTGGGTGACGACAGACTGGCCTGTCCAGCACCTACGATGCCCCTGCAGACAGCTGCGGACAGCTGGACTACTCTGGACCAACCGACCATCTTCCCTGTATCACAGGCCAGCGACACGTGGGGCCAGCAACAGCCGCCATGGGTAAGGAAGTGAAATGACCCTGGGAAAGTGATGGTCCTGGCAAGGATGTCCCATTGTCACCAGGCATGGGGCCAGCGAGGGTTTGGGAAACCCCTCAGAGATCCTATCACCTGTGAATCGACTGATAAACACTGTCCCTGTCTCAGTGACAGTGCCAGTCACCGCTCAGATGCCGGAGACATAAAGGCAGCTGATTACCTGCCATCCGCCCGTGACCCTGGGCTCCCACTGCATTCTGCAACTCCCCACTGACCTCATCTACAATCTGAAGTGTTTTCACTTCAGGGAAACATTCTCCAGATTACAAACGCACCAGCTGCTCCCAGAAAACCCACCGGCTCCCACAACCCGTTAACAGACCAAGCCCTAACCAGCAGGGCAGCCCCGGCCCTGAGGCCCCACTCAAAGCCATTCAGTGGGCTTCCCTGGACACAGACCCATGCTGGGCCCTGGGAACACAAATGTGGATCAGACACTGATCCCACACATAGCCCCAACCTCCAACCCAGACTCCTCTTCTCTCACTCCTGTGGCCCCAGAGCCTGGGGCACAACCTAGCACCCTGCTCTGGTTGCCAAAATTTGAACCTTGACTCCCTCACTTGCTATGTGTCCCTGGGCAAGTGACTCAACCTCTCTGAGCCTCTGTTTCATCAGCTTTGACAGGAATTCGCATGGTAATCCAGGGTGAGATGCATCTGACAAGCATGATGACTCTGGGCAGGTTCACTCCCTGCTGGTACTCTTCTTATTCCCCGCGTTGTGTCTCTGGGCCCCCATGGGCTCAGCCCCCCCAACCCCCACCCCAGCCCCATCACAGCCCATAGCATGGGGAGTTGTCAACATGCCAGCCTCCCTCACCACGTGGGGTCCTCAGGCTTGGGAAAGAAGGGTCTTATCACTCCACCTGGTCCCCTCCAGGCCCTCTTAGATCGACACCCACAAGGTGGCATGCAATAAATAATGAATTAATGACGGGATGAAAAAGTGATCACGGGAATGAATAAACAAAACCACAAATGGGGCAGAGACTTCCTGCAGACACAGAAGGGGAGGCTCGTACCTTTGGGAGTTTCTTTCTGATGAATAGCAGTGTCTGGTTTTCTTTTCCTGGGGACTTTCATAAGCCACCCACTGAATTTTGAAAAACGGTCTTTGGGCTGTTGAGGCTCACTGGGCAGAATTTCTTGAAGTTCATTTTCTTCTTCCTTCTGCCTTGATTTCTTCTTTCCCCAGCACACTGTCGTTTTGGGTCGTTCCATCTCGCTGCCTCTGTGCCTTGCGGTGGCCAGGCCCCCAGTCACCCTCTCAAAGGCTTCTGAGTCACTGCACTTTGTGTTCAGTCTCCACCAACAGAGACAAGTAGAGGGAGCAGGCTGACTGCCAGAGAAACTTCCTCTGCAACTGAAAGTATGGAAATTAATGTTGTTGGAATTACCCAAATTTCACTAACCAGGGCTGCCCCTCCAAGCAAAGATGGGAGTGGCAGTTCTGTTATCCAGCCCACGAATGTTTCCCTGATGCCTTGGGTCAACCCCAGGACAGAGCAAAGGCCATGCAGTTGGGCATACCACGTGAAGCCGGTGATCACAGTGGACCACCACCACATTCCTACCCCACCACTGCTGTCAAAATGTGAGAATGCGCTCTTGTACAGGTTTTTAAAAATCTGTCACTAAAGAAGAAATTACTCATAGCTGTAATTGCTTTCTTTTTTAAAAAAATTGTGATAAACTTTACACAACATAAAATTTACTGTTTTAACCATTTTTAAGTGTATAATTCATTAGCACTAAGTAACACACATTGTTGTGCAATCACCACCACCGTCAACCCCAGAGCTCTTTCCATCTGGCAGAACTGAAACTGTACCCATCAACACTGACTCCCCACCCCCAACCCCCAGCCCCGGGCACCCACCATTCCTCTTCCTGTTTCTATGAACTGGAATACTCCCAGTGCCTCATACAAGTGGAATCATGCAGTATTTGTCCTTTTGTGTCTGGCTTATTTCATTTGGCAAATGTTCTTGTATAGTGACAAAAACCTACAGTTTTTTCCTCCCTGTGTAGGAAAAACCCAGCTCTTCCTCCAGTGTTCCTCCTCTGTGAGTCTCCTTTACTCTCACACAGAACACTTCACTTCTGACACTTCTAGTCACCAAATGTGGGGGAGGGGGGTTCCCCACATCAAGCAAGTCTCTGTAGCAACAGCTGGGTGTCCTACGATTTAACTCAATTCTGACACTATCTGCCCGGACACAGCATCAGATCCCACAGGTCAGGGCTCAGTTCCACAAGTCTGCCCCCACCACCCTCACTTTAGACACCAGTCACAAATCCAGGCTGCCACCTGTACCTCTTGTCAACTGGCTATAGATCGGAGGTCCCAACAACTCCCTCCTCAGGTTCAATTAACTTGCTAGTGTGACACGGAATTCATGGCAACACTTGCTTATATTTGCCGGTTTACCGACAGATGTGATAGAGGATACAGATGAACAGCCAGATGAGGGGATACGGAGGGCGAGGTATGAGGGAAGGGGCGTGGAGCTTCCATGCCCTCATGGGCGCACCGCTCTCCCAGCACCTCCACCTGTTCACCAACCCAGAAGCTCTCAGAACCCTTTACTATTGGGACTTTGGGGAGGCTTCCTCAGGCAGGACGACCAATGGTTAACTCCACTTCCAGCCGCTCTCCCCTCTCTAGACAAGTTGCGGGGGTGGGGGGCCGGGTGCTGAAAATTCCAAGCTTCTAATCACCGCTTGGTCTTCCTGGTGACCAGCCCCCATCCAGGCGCCCACGCAGAGTCGCCTCATTACAACCAGAGGTGCTCCTAGCATTCTTGTCACTTAGGAATCTGCAACGGTTTCAGGAGCTCTCTGCTGGGAACCGGGAGCAGAGATCAATATATATATTTTCTTCTCTCTCATAGTCCTGAAGATTCATCCATGTTGTAGCACGTGGCAGAATATCTTTCCTTTTTTTAAAATATGAAAGAATGAGTTGACTTTTTTACCAATTTGTTTTTTCAAATTATCTCATTGTGGTAAAAAACACATCACACAAAATTTACCATCTTAACCACTTTCAAGTGTACAGTTCAGTGGCATCAAATACATTCACGTTGTTGTGCAATCACCACCCCCATCATCTCCAGAACTTTGTTCCTCTTCCCAAAGTGAAACTCTGTCCCCATAAACAATAACTCCCCATTCCTCCCTCCCCACAATCTGCCAACCACCTTCCTACTTTCTGTCTCTAGGAATTTGAGTATTCTATGGACGCCATATGAGTGGAATCCTACAGTCTTTCAGGTTTTGTGACTGGCTTATTTCACTCGGCATAATGTCCTCAAGGTTCACCCATGTTGTACCACAAGTCAGGATTTGCTTCCTTTTCAAGGCTGAATAATATTCCATTACATGGATTTACCACACTTTATTTATTCATTCACCCGTCGATGGACACTGGGGTCGCTGCCACACTTTGGCCACTGTGAATAAAGTTGCTATGAACCTGGGTGTGTACACATCTTTTGAAGTTCTGCTTTCTGTTCTTAGCTGTGGCTCCTTCACTGACAATGCTATTATCACTGCTGTGGCTTTCACAGCTTCCCTCAGCTTGGAAGCTCTCCCTGGCCCATGCCCGGGGGCTGGCATCCTCATGTTAGACAGGAGAAACTGAAGCACGATGTTGACACCAGCACAGACTTTCCGGGAGGCCTCAGGGATAGGGTGCCGCCAGTAGCACTGCCCAAACTCTGGAGCAGATCCTGTTTGATGTGGTATGAGCAGGGATCCAGCATCATCTTTTTCCATGCGGACAAAGTGTGTTCGAGCTGGAGTTACGGAACAGCTCCTCCTCTGCGCTCTGACCTGACACGCCACCTCTTGTGCATGTGTCCAGCATTTAAACTTAGACCTGCCTCAACCCAGGCTCAGTCCTTAACCACTAACCCACACTGCCCCTGGGACACACTCAGGGCTCCTATGTGAGTTTCCGGCTGCTGTAACAAATTCCCACAAACTTAGAGGCCTAAACCACACAAATTTATTATCCTATGGTTCCAGAGCTCAGAGGTCTGACACGGGTCTCTCTGGGCTAAAGTCAAGGTGTCAGCGGGGCTGTGCTCCTTCTGGCAGGTCTGGGAGAGAACCCATTTCTTCTTTCCCATCTTCTAGATGCCTTCTGCACCCCTGCTCATGGCCCCCTTTCCAGTCGTCACATCCAGCAACAGCAGGCCTCGAAACACCTCCCTCTGACCTCCACTCTGCCTCCCTCATCCCTTGTTAAGGACCCTGTGCTGACATCAGGCCCACCGGGGAATCCAGGCTCAGCCCCTATGTTAAGGTCGGATGGTCAGCAATCTTAATTCCGTCTGCGACCTTAACTCCCCTTTGCCTGGAACCTAGCGTAGTCATGGGTTCATGACTTAGGACAAGGCTATTTTTAGGGGGACATTAGTCTGCCTATTGCATACCCCTTTACTACAGCCTTCTCTCTCTCTCCTCAACTCCACAGGATGACCTCTGGAACATTCGCCGTCTCCACACTCTCATTCATCCCTCCTCAACCGCTCCCCAACCCAGTCTGAAAGGTCTGGGTCTTCTTCGTCCCGGGCCCCATAGCACAATCCCATAGGCCTCATCCTTAGGCACTCAGGCCAACTCAGCATTCTAGAACATCCCTCTCTTTCTAGAACAGTGCCGAGGTTTCTCAGGACTGCTTGGGCTTATCTGTTTGTCCCTGTGTCCATTACTTTCTGCTCATGGAGACAGATACACGCACGTGTCTGCACGTCACTAAGAGACACACAGCTTAGAGAACACACCAAGTTCCCAGGGATTTTGGCATTGTCCTAAACATGTACAACGATATTCCTCCACATGTTGCAAAGTAGGGTTTCTGGTGAGCGCTGAGTGTTTTTCATGGATGATCTCCTTTCCTCTTCACGACAGCCCTATGAGGTAGGCACTAATTTACAGATGCAGAAACTGAGGCTGGGCGATGAGACAAGATGACTCGAGGTCCCACAGCTAGAAGGTGCTGGAACCAGGACACAAATCCCTACAGGCAGCCTCTTGTGCTGCTACTCCTAGGTAGAATGCTGGTGAGGGGCTCATTGACCCCATGTATCCTTTTTTCCTGATCCAAAGGCTTTTGGGCTATGGATACTAAAGCTTGCTGTATCCAGAATCCGGAGCCAACAAGATGCTCAGGCAGCCTGAAGGAAGTCCATGCAGGAGGAAGCTGGGCATACCTCGACTCCAGAGTTCCCCCAGCCACAGCACAGACAAGCAGGTGACCTCGAAAGCCAGAGAGCCTCAAGAGTCCCCCGTCTGGGCTGGGCTACACACAAGCATCAGCAGTGTTGATGAGGCCCTTGGAGGAGGTGGGGGGTGGGGGAGTGGACGCACAACAAAAGCCCACCAGCTGGGCTGGGGCAACAAGAGAAGCCACGGTCCTTGACTGTCCCTATCACAGCACGAGACCTGGCTCCCGCAAACACATAAACTCCGGGCTTAGGACACTCTGGGGGACAATGCCAACACAGGGCCCAGCAGGTGTGTCCGCCAGGCTAAAGAGAAGCCACCTCACGGGGAATCCCCTGAGTGGTCTCATTTCCCCCAGGAAGGAAGGGGCTTAACTTTCAGTTTTGCTCGCTGACAGTAATTCTAGAGTTTCTCTGAAACCACGTGGGTGATCTGTTATTTGGCTTCTGCACAAACACAGCTGTGGCAACCCGAGACAACACACACCCGTGTCCTCGCAGGGTTTGCAGCCTCTTAAAAAACTGTTCAGGGTCCTGGACACGCTGGACAGCTGCCCTCTGAGTGAACTGACCTCCTCTAGTTAAGAGCTGGGAGGTGGGTTACGCAGGCCCCTTTGTGACTCAAGCCCACCCTCAGACTCCCTGGGAGGAAAGGCAGGTTTCTTCCCGTGGCCTCTTTCACTTCCCTGCTGCTGGGCACCACCCCTTGCGGGGGGCAGGGAGTCTCTGGAGAGCCAGAGCCAAGCCACCTGCCTAGAGCATCAGAACTTCAACACGAGTGAACCCAACTAGTAGTCACTGCAAAAAATCCAGCTTGGCACTGACCACATGACTCCAGGGGCTCCTACCCGAGCCCTCCCAGTTCTCTCCCTCAGCCCCTCATCCTGGAGGCTGCTAAGTCCTTTCCAATGAGGTTCACCAGATCAGATCAAAGTAATCCCTCTTCTTCCCACATCAGGTGGGTGGAACATAGAACACTCCTGACGTCCATCCAGTGGTTCCCATGCATGGGAAAATAGCCCCTGCCACACTAGGGGAGAGGGCCAAGGGCCAATGTGGCAAAATCCATCCACATTTTAAATGGACGTACCCTCGAACCCAGCAATTCCACTATGAAAACTTACCCTTCCAATATCCTGACAAAAGGATGCAGATTTGCTCCAAGAAAAGGAGGATTACAGTGTCTTTATAAAAGCTGGATCCACATGCACTCTGAAATGCACCCAGAGGAAGCAATCTAATAAGTTCTTTACAGCAGCCAGTACAGCTGGAACTCCTACGGACACTGACAGCAATGAGATTTATCTCTGAGAAACACAACTCAGTGGAAACAGCCGACAACAGTGAGAGTGGCTTCTAGAGGCCACCTTTGTTCCTTGGCTCATGACCCACCTTCCTCACCTTCAAAGCCAGCAGCGTCACATCTCATGACCCTGCTCTGTCGTTACCTCTCTCCCTCTGACCACACCTGGGAAAGCTTCTCTGCTTTTAAGGACTTGTGATCCGATTGGGCCACCTGTAACCACGTCTGCACTGTCCCTCCCACCACGTCAGGGAACATATTCACAGGTTCCAGGGACTACGGAGGGAATATTTCTGGGGTGCCATTATTGCGCCGACCACCATAACACTCTCTGAGGATTGCTCGTGACAGTGCATAGAGAGAGTCGCCATTCCTTTTTAGAGTCACACGGTCCTCCATTTTGAGGTGGACGATGGTTGACTCCACCATTCCCTCCAGTTGGAAAATAAATGGAACTTTGTCTTGAGTCCACTTTAAGGTAAGCTCAGTGGAATCCCAAACACATACTTGATATTTACCAGTTACTGATTGTATAGTTGGAATAAATATTTTTAGCAAATCGTAAATTATTCCATACCCACAGGGTAAGCGTTTTTAGGATAGAAAAGGCCTAAGTAGAGGCCAATCAAAAACAAGACCACATGCCCAAGGGAATCCTAGAGATCAGGGCTGCCATCAAAGACTGGAATCGACACCAATCTAACTCTGGACAGAGCTAACCCCGCCAGCCAGCCCCCAACCCCGCCACTCCTACCTCTTGATACAAAATCCTTCCTCCTACAAGCATATCAAAATCTGACCACTTTTCTCCATCCCACTGCCAGCCCCATCCAAGCGCCTTAACCACAGAGCTGGACCATGACAAGGGTGCCCCAAGGGCATCACCGGGCTCACTCTTGCTCCCTTCCTGGAGCAGACTGTTGTGTTCCAAGGCAAATCTGTGAGGTGTGGAGGCAGGGACCCCAGACTCAGGAGATGAGGAAGGGGAGATGAGATGGCCTCTTCCCATGGCAAAACACGCACAAATATCTCAAGCGAGATCCAGCAACATTGACTAGTGTGGGCCACTAGTTATTCTAATAGAGAAATAGATAAGTAAAACACAATATTGACAAGCTTGGTTATTTGGTCACCTAAATTAGAAGGAAATCAAATAAGGAAATGATTTTAACAGAAAATTAGTAAAGATTCAACTCATGAGATTTTTAAATTAAGACTAAAAACAACTTTATGCAACTCAACAATGAGTGAAACACACACACGCACCCAGGCACATTCACACACACACGGAGGATTTATTAAACCAAGTAAATGACAAAAGGAGAAATGACAATCTGATGTCAAAAGAAGTAGAAAATCTAAACATCAGACTTATTACCAGGTAACTCAGTACCCAATGTTCATGATGATGCTCCGGAATAATCAACAACAACAAGGTAAACTACATTTAGCAAGCTCCATTTTAAGTAGACCAAAGTTTCAGTAATTTAGAAGGATTTTCATCCAGCCTGGTGCTTTGATATTCCTGTCACCTGGGAAGAGCTCAGTTTCCGTTGGAAGGGCACTCCTCTGGCTCCTGTTCCTGGTTGTGATCAGTGAAGGGAAAGAAGAGAATAATACAAACACAGCAGGGAAAGGAGTGGGTGGAAAGGAAGCAGCACTCACAGAGGCACCTGAAGGACTGAGAAGGGAACACGATGAGATGAGGGGAGACTAGATTCAGAAAGGGGAGAAACAGAGTGGGGAGCGAGTAGCTGCCCACAGGAGGATCCTCCAGGCCCCAAGCACCAGAGAACACTGGGACATCCTCCCAGCTATTTGCCACTGCCCACAGCCCTTTGGCTCTGATGTAACCCTGCTTACCTTTGACGAGTGTGGCCTCAGCTGCTCTCCCCTAGGGTTGATTGTCCTGGAGCCACATCTAGAGGCCGGAGCTGTTCTGGCTTGGCCAGGCCTGGAGTCCCCGGCAGGAATGACACGCTCATCCCACACTCAACAGCCACACTTCACTGGACAGGTTCTAGAACACCTCACAGCTTCTTTACTCCCAGCCACAGAATGGGGCTGACAGGAGCACATGACCTGGGGTTGCTGCCAGAAGTACGGGAAGTGATCAAAGTGAACCACATTCTTTGAGCCTGGTAGATCACCCCATTAGCTCTAACAGGGTCACTCCGTGATCACAGCCGCGTGTCCCCACCTAGTGGCCATGGGTGGAAGTGTCTCTTGGTGTTTGGCACATTGCCCACCTGGTGGCACCTTTCCCCAGGTGAGGCCCAGAGAGTGCATCCGAGGTCTTCTTCTCAGAAAGGACGTGAAAGTCTGATCAACAGGGGAAATTTTCTGAGTGATGTTTCAATAAACATTTTGAAGGCTCAGAGTTCCTTCAAGAAAAATCCTTTCCAAAAAAAACGTAACACAGAGTGAGGCAGAGAGTGGAATGACAATGATTATTATAGCACCCAGGGTACCCCTTATTCACGCCAGGAATAGTTAAACACCTTTGTGGTTGTCTGACATTCAACACCTAGGACAGTGATTCACATTGTGTGCTCCAATCTGCAGTAAGAAACGCATTTCAGGTGTGACCCAATACATGCTCACAAATATATATGAAATAACATTTACTCCTGCAATGTGTCCCCCCTTTTGGTATTTTCTATTCTCTGCTACTTAGGTTTACCAAATTTAGCGATAGAAATACAGGACTCCCAGTTAAATTTGAATTTCAGATAAGTAACGAAGACTTTTAGTATGTGTACATCCCATCTAATATTCGGGATATATTTATACTGAAAAGATTATTTGTTCTTTTTCTGAAATTGTCTTTAACCGGGTATCCTGTATTGTAACTGGCAACCCTAATTCTATTCCATGTTTTTGAATGTTGGTCACAGTCTCCTAACCCAACGTTACAGCTGAGCAGTAAGGTGCAGGTCCCAGTTTGAAGACAGTACCTTAGGTGACAGGACCATGAGCATCTCCTCCCAAAGCCAGAGCAGGAATTCAGATTCCAGTGGAGCAGTCGCCACCTCTCCCTCTGAGACCTGCCCGCCCTTCCACTGCAGACGTGTCGCTCACCCCCAATGGTCCGTGCATGCCGCTGCAGTAAAAAGGTCTGGGGGTTTTTGAAAGATGACTTTTGTGCACATAAACGACCAGTGGCAGGTACTTTGTTTTTTAAATAACTACCCGATTTATTAAAGTACTATATTTAAAAACCTAGTTTTTCCTTAAACTTGAAGTCCAACTTAAAAATCTTATTAAGCTGTTTATGGATCCAGTCAAGTTTAACAATCATTTAGAGGAGGGTTTGACTGATGTTCGGTCTCAGTTACAAACTAGTTTAAGTAAAAACTCTTAAATCTTTAAAATGATATATTTAATTGCTTCAAATACTTCAACTGAGTAACTAGCAAAAGAAACATTCCCTAGTAATATGATGGGTCTTCAGTAGTGGCACAGAAGAGATGCTTCCTCTTCAACCACTGGCTGACCATGAAGATGCACGTCGTGGAGAGAGAAGACAGGCGTGCACACACACGTGCACGCGCACTCACACACGCATGCACACACGCACAGGCGGACCAAACAGTGCTAGAGGGGCGCAGTGCTACCCTCTTTGGGAACCTGTCTATAATGACCCCTAGTCCCCCTCTTGGCTCTCAGGAGAAAATAATTCTTTCTGGACACAGTTACGTGTCATTTAACGATGGGAATATGTTCTGAGAAACGCGTCGTCAGGTGATTCCGTTGTTGCGTGAACATTATAGAGTGCACTAATACAAACCTAGATGGTACAGCCTGATACACCCCTAGGCTCCACAGTACTAATCTTATGGGACCACTGTCGTGCGTGTGGTCCAACATTGACCAAAATGCCCTTATGCAGCACATGACTGTAAAGCATTTTTTGTTCCCTTTGGAGGAAGATGAGCCCTTTGGTGAGGGGTGGGGCTGAGAAGAAGGATGGGGGGAGCACATTTACAACTGGAGATGTGGGAGGAACCTATCTCCTGGGAGCACAGGTCAACTGCATTTATAGTGAAGATCATCAGCCTTTAAAACGCCTCAGGAAACTCAGGATAGTGGTTACCCTTTGGGGTGACAGGCCAGGGCCTGAGGGAGGCTTCTAAGTTTGGGTGTAAGGTTCTGCTTCCTGATGTGGGTGCTGGTTCCCCACAAGGGGTCAGTTCGTGAATATTCTTTGGGCTGCATTCTCATATGTGTGCTTCTGTGCATGTTTATCATACTTCAATAAAACGTTCCAAAAATTGCTTTGCTAGTCAGTTAAGCTTCTCTTCCTCCAGATGCCAGACTCATAAGCCAAAAGTTCATTTCACTGCAGGCCCAAATGGAGCAGGCTTTTATACAAGAGGGTTCCAAGAGTTTTACCCCGAAGCATGAATTTATCCCAGCAACAAGCATCCCCGATGTTAACTCGTCACAACCAGCAGTTCTGCAGCCGGGTATCATCCCAGGCCCTGGACTCTCCATGGGTCCCTCAACAGTACGCAGGGTGCAAGGCCGAGTTCAGCGCTGGACAGAGCCCATGCACAGTGTGCCCAGGAGTGGGAGGGAGTGGGCAGCAGGGCAAGATGCAGGAGGCGAGCCAGCCGCCCAGGAGGGTGCGGAGGGGGCTGGGGAGGCCTGAACCATAGGCAGCAGGGAGATAATCGTCATCCTAAATGGCACTTTATAGCTTCCAAAGCTCTCTCAAGTCAGTTTTCTCTCTGGATTCCTACAGGAACTCTGAGAGGGAAACAGAGCAAGTGACATTATTCCCAGCCCATAGATAAGGCCACCAGAGCCGAGACAAACCAGTAAGGAGTCCAGGACTGGAAT